CTAGCGGACCACCACGCATCTGCAAACCTATTTGGTTTCACAGGAGACTCACCAGAAACCCAGCGGAGTCTCTCGTCAATGATGTCGAAGAGTTCCCACCAACCTTATAAGTAGTATAGTATGTTGATACTATCATTAATTGTTTATGAAATCAGCCAAGTGTTAAACCAAGTGGTTGTGTCGGGAATATGTAATTGGCAAACACTCCACCAACTTACTGATTCCAACTAACAGGACCAAACGGCCATGATTTATTTTGCCACCGGATACATATTGTGGTTTTTTACGTTTGCTCTGCCTCAATTTTTCAAGCCCATTATGTGTATGGCAAGCTGAAAATAGCATGTCCCTTTGACAGCTTCCACCAAGTGACGAATGAAACTGTATGGCACACACATTATTGCGTGTATTCAGATCAAATTTAGTTGGTTGTCCCAACGCGATGTCATATATTCTACCAGCATCTCCAAAGCTGAGTTTGTTCTTTTAAAAAATACTACCGGATTTAACTTTCATCCGTTTTGTTGACGTTTTTCTCCATTCTCGGGGATACGAAGGGCACTTTGACCGGTTGATTCCAATTGCATCTACCTGGAATCATCAGATAAAATATACAACCGTAGGATAGACAAATGCGAACTGGCGAAGGTCACCCTGCATGATGGATGACTTCCCTCGACCTCAGATTTGGAACATTTTCCGGTGAAAATCTGTTCGGAAATCCACTTGACTGGGAAATGTCAAACGTGCAATGCCATGATCAGATACCACCGCTAAAAAACAAATATTTTGCACGAATGCAAACCATCAACACGTCGCATCTTCACACCGAATCACCTTCAACGCCAAACCGAAGTGTGTTATAGTATTTCCCGATTATTGATCCAGAATTGATGGAAATAGATGTTTGTCAAACAGACTGCAGGAATCAGATGTTATGGCAGTTCATCGCCAAAAATTGTTTGCCTAGTGAATTAAATTCAATGTTTTGAAGCAACCAAATGCGTATTCGTCATACCTGATGACGGACGGTCATTGAAAGTCACCGGTTAATTTCTGCTACCAAAAGCTGTAGAGAAGTTATGTCAAACAGGATAAAGAACACTAACGAGACTGACAAACATTTCTCCGAGGACACTACTTTGCTAATTATCGGACTTCTTACCTTATATTGAACAGGCTTAGATGACCAACATGTTAAACATAAATCCTATTCTACCATAACTTATGAGAGTTTGGGGACGTCCAATTGCAGTTTTTCGATCTTTTAGTTCTGTTCTTGGTCTTCTGGTAACTTGAAAACGCCGGCCCGTGCTAACTCCGGCGTACAGTCTGGATGTATCGATCATATGCTGTCTGAACAAGCGTGAAGTTCTTCATGAAGTACTTCTTTCAAATTACGCCATCCAAATGACGTATCATAAATCTTTGGCATTAGCAGCCGAAACTGCTGTAGTTACAACAGTGCCATGATGTTCTTTTTGGGCATGCACTTTTATGAGATAGATGACATTTTCAGGGTTCACGTAGTCTTTTTCTGGGATATCATTTCAAATTCATGATGGATAGTCACAAAAGAATTGTCTTCGCTCAGTTTACCAGACCTAATTTGGTACGGTTGATGAACGGACGGTGAAATAGGTTCTAAAACAGACAAAGCTGCTTACGCACTGATGGCTTTGATGCTTTTCGGAAAAATCCAATGGTGCTTATTAGCTTATAATGTATGCAAAAAGTTGAAATCTTCCTTGTTTGGTTCTTGCCTACTCGCCAACTCAGTCATAGCCTAATTATTACTTGACACACGAATTTGTTAAGACTAAATTACTGCTGCTGACCTTTACAAAACGATTAGTTCTACATGGCCTACCAGAAAAAAGCTGTCGTTTTCTATCCCAAAAAGCTGGCAGTAAAGTGAAGGTCCATATTTTAGGATTTCAGAGCCTAAATTTACGCTCCTGTGCAGGTGCCGTATAATTAGCTTTGCAAAAGCAAACAATTTACTTTATTCAACGGTTGACTTATTAATATTTTGCCACCAGAGCTGGGGTAAACAGGTGTAGGATTGCCTGGTGAATTTCGGGTCTTCGAGAAGTCAGCTCCTGGAATTTGAACGAAGGCTTTTGTGACTCCAATATAACTGTAGTTTTGACTTGCGAAGAGGCGTAGCGTTGATGTCGTACTAATGTCATGGCGTAGATACACGATAACCATGAGATTAAACTAGTAGACAAGGTTGTTTGCCTTATCTACCACCTGGATGTCTGGTTTATCAGACAGTCAGACCGCTGCGGAAGTCGAATGTCAAAAAAATCCACAGCAATTCACAAACACAAGGTGAAAATGGCATCGAAATTTCTGAAAACATTGGTTGATCAAAAGTGAATAATTAAATATGCCTGGAAAAGCAAATTTCATTGTTTCCAGTGAATTACATCTTGGAGGTAAGGCATTAACGTTTAGCATGAGAATCATCGCCCGGTTGGTAAATATTTACTACATTTTCTCGCGCTTTATCCACTGTTAAGTTTTGTCCAAAAAAATTGGCATACTTAGCAAGGAATAGCTGACTTAACTAGTTTACCCAAAAAATAATGTCCTTACATCCAAATAGGCTTTATTGCGATGAAAATTGGTCGGACACACGAATTTGGTATATATTGGAGGTTGAACTGTGAGTTGGCTTCATGGTCTCAAAAGTGACAGAACTTCCCAAAGCCACCTGTTCTATCCTACCTTAGTTGGTGATAACGAGGAATTTCTCAAAGATTATCATACCGTTGTTTTCAAGCATTTTTTTTAGATGTTCCAAACCATCCCTTTGGTTTACCATCGTGTGAAAAATGTGTCCTTGCTTATTCATAATGCAGACATATGATAAACTTTAGATAAGTTGTGACAACTTGCTCCCCACCGTAATTCGAGTATAGTTAGATTTACTTGGGATCATTTAGATCGACATCTTCATTGACGTTATGATGAGATGACACCAAATGAACTATGCATAAACCTGTCAAAAAATGGACGCACAAAGCACCTGACGGACTAAACACACCATAAGAAATGGTGAAGGAGGGAACAGACGTGATCCGGTTTGCGAATTCTCGTGCTACTCACAGCAGGAACCTAATCTATATAGTAGTCATTACTCAGGATAGTTGGTAGAATCAAGTAAGTGGCCAGTTTTCTCAGTGGCAGTTTCCCACGGAACCAAGAAGCACACATGGAGACGGTGATGACACTGATGGACTGAGTCTAGGTAGAATGAAAGAAGACGCGAAGCATACAATTTATGTAGCGGTAACATTTTCAAAGCCACCCTACTTGGCTGCACATTATTAGTTTTCCCCGACCATGTGCACAGCAAACGCTGAGACAAGAAGCTGGTGATAGGAATGGACCCTAGCTGGACTCACTGTTCTATGATAGTTGAACCTCAACTTTCCACTTTTTAACTGCAATACACTCAACAAAGAGTTCTCAGCAAACTACTGAGTGGTGTTTTATTACGTAACTTATTACGATATTTGTAAAAAACCGTGCAAAATGAAACATGGGGCGGCCTAGTGCAGTACAGTCAGTTGAAACGAAACATCATAAACGAGAAATTCAACTGGATTGGGTTGAGTCATTTGCCGACGCCGACTTCGTCTCACAAAAACTTGGGAACTGGTTCCACTACATGAGCATTAAGAAACCCGAAACTGTCGAAGTGTTTTAACGAGATTGTGAATAGTTTTTTCTTAGGTCTAAACGTTAATTCCGGTGAAGTTGCTTCTACTTTCCTCTTAATTTGAAGGCTTGCGTGTAATTACTTCAACGTGCGCGTTTGCATCTTCAGATACCAAAGTAGTTAAGACATATATAGGCGCGTTACAGCACTCTTAATTTGCGACTAACTATGACTGAAACGTCACCGGGCTAAAATCTGTTTGAATACAACTTTGTCTTATGTTATCGAGGATTGTCTCCATGGTTAAAGCATCTCCGATTTAGTGACCTGACCACTCTATGCACCTTCGCACCTCAAACATACCATCCAGTGTGACATCCGATTTCCTAACATTCCCCTAAATGGCTGCTGTAGCCCACTATGTGAGGGGAAGATTTTCGTAGTCGTCGTATTATTATAAATTTAACGCTCGCTAAATTTTGATCCATCTGGTGTCATCCGATAGTGAAGTTCGATTTAAATTGCTATGCGAACAAACCCTCGTTTCCATGCATCAGTTCATAATGCTGGTTGCTCTATGTATTCTTGGTTGGTTTTCCGGCGATGGAGCAGCCAATTTCATTCCGCAAATCAGCATAAGTTTGTCAAGACTTCAGAATCTGAACCTGTTTGATAAGCCCCGAACAGGGTAAAACCGATTGCAGGCTGTCAGAGAGTTTTTAGCAGCCTTGTGTGTAGAGTTCCATCAATAAGTCGATCTATGGAGAAAAACCGAAATAAACAGTCTTTTTTGTTATTGAGAATCTTTAGCAGTACATACAATTCAATGTTTTAATGGGAAGTGAGTCGGAAACCGAGAAATTGAGCAATTTCTAAGGTCTGATCAGTAGATATACTTGGAAGATAACACCACTAGTCCGTCAATCACTGGGTCTTTGTTGCTTCCGTGTGGTGTTTTGGTGGCCTCTTGAATAATAACTTGTTTATGCGGAGCTCGTGAAACGTGTATCATACGTATTTATCTGTTTTATAGCCAGTACGTGGCGGTTCCATTTCATCGAATCGATTTGCTCCAAGGGTACTACATAATACGTATATACTATGCATACATACTATACTAAGTAATACATACTACATTCGCGAATTGCTAATGGTCTCCAGCGGTGCTACCAGCAGCCTTTGTGTAGAGGAATCATACGGTAAGCTCATACAGGCGCGTCTGTGGATTACCAGTGAAGCATGTATAATCATATATATATATATATATATATAATACAAACAACGGTTGACTTCAATTCTTTTATAGTCTTGCGAAGATATCGACAGGACAGACAGCGGACATGGACGCAGTAGCACAACGGATAACGGTGTTGCGCCCGCGAACGAATCCAAAGCTACGAAAGGTGAGGTGGTTGTTTTCTTCTTATTACTACTTGTCGTCCTGAGGACAACTGTTCTTTGTGACGTATATTCGTCTCAGCTTTGAAATTCTTATCAGCCGTGGTCTTCTGTGGGCGCTGTTTGTGAACAAATGGCCACCGGTTACTGACATTCATAAGAATTTGTAACGGTTTTGAGCTTCCTGACATGGAATCCGTGATACATGGTGCACGCTTTTTCAGACACGGTCAACGTAACACAGGTTCCAGTGGGTCTGCAGCAACAGTAGATTAAAACCGAGTGTAGAACTATTCAATGTAGGTGGTCCTTGTCTGTGGGGATGGAAATACAGTACACAAACTTCTACTCCTGTCACTTCTCGGACGGATAAACATTGTAAGTATATGGATTGTAAGTGGAAAGCGGCACATCAAACTACGGGATAGACCGGCCAAGCAACAAAATAGACTTAATTCTTCATGAATATTTAGCCTAGATTTGTCATGCGTAGAACCCGGTAGGCACTGCCATTTATTGTTGACCAAAACGGGTAGATGTGACCATTGAACAAACGTATTAGTTGTCTGATACGCGTTCTTACTATTATGACAGGTGAACTCCATCCGCCAATGACGAAAGAACATACTGATCCAGATATTGGCCTTTTGACAATTCCTACACTTCAATCTCCCAGATCAAAATGTAACACACTGCCTTCGAAATGCAATCTGGAAAAGATAGCCAAAGACGAAGCTTCAGATTCCGCGTTGGACATTCCTGATCGTTCTCCGGTCAGCACATCACAAGGGCAGTCGCAGCTGCAGAAGGCCCGACAGTCAGTCACCTGGAAGGAAGCGGATTATCAAACGTGCAACCAAGATGACCAACATAAGCGGACGGTTGGCTGCCTCATAGGTAACCAACATTCATCCGGCTCTCACGCCAATTTACCTGGTGAAATGGATGAATCCAGTGAGGGTACCCTGGTATTATTCAGTCCTGTGGACACCTCAGGTTACGCTCAATTGGTGCGCCCGTCTTTACCCTCACTAACTGAACAAGGTTCGCCAAAACATTCACTTTATTCGGCCTTCCCCACCAGTTTTGTGTGAACAATCAAGCACACGTGTATAATATAAAACTGATCGATAACACATAACTAGGTACATGGATAGGCAACGATCCAGTGCATCCCACTGCCTTCACTTTGAATCTTGTGTTCTTCTCTGTAATGGCTGAAATTGACCAACTTCAATATGCATCCAGGGGCTTGTATATTGGGCTGTTTTTACTTCCTTTATGATCTCATCATCAAAGACTCCATGTCCACATGAGACAGTACTATCTGCCAAATTCCCTAATGGCATGCCAGTTTTGGGTCGTGATACTTATGCTGCTTTGGATAAACCACTTGGCGGATATCTGTTCTCAAATCAAACGGGAAGGCTTGGCACTATAACACACTACTCTGCAGCTAGGAGTGAACCACTTTTTACCAATCAGATTAGCGAAAATCTTGATGAAGGCCTTTAATAACTTCCTATTTGTACGTCTGAAAATAGCAGTACTGAGAGATCAAAAATTTTCCACGGCTTACCGGGTCAGTGGATGATTAGGAAGAGTATAAACAACGACTTGTCCATTTGATTTGGAAAGATGATGCTGCCTGATTTTTGTAACATCACGCTGGTAGCACTCTCTGCTCAACGGGAATGTTTCTGACATATCAAATAGTGAAAAGATATAGCTGAAAGTTCTCCTGACATTGTCCTGCACAATTTAAAGCATTCGGTCATCCGACACTTCCAATAGGAAAATTCATTTTTGGCCGGTTTGCTCCATTTTGTAGAAACCAAGTTGAGTGTAGTATTGACAGTTATCGAAGCGGACACGGGAACTTCAGACAGTGATGCAATCTTGTGACCATCCTTCGTGCTCTTACATCAGTCGAACACCTGGTGAGCAGAATAAATTATCTTTGAGTTAGCATAAAGTACATGGCGGATTGAAATGCCTCGATAGCTCTCCCTAGGTTACTCCTATACTTACCCTCATTGGTCAGACATGGAATCCGAAATTCTGTTAATTTTGAGTCGTTTTTGAGCCCCAAATTTTGCATATGTGTAGAGAGACACATTTGTAAATTGAGCTAATGTTAAGAAGCTACAAATCTATGTCTCTCTTTTATAATAATTCTCGATACAAATGGCCATCTTATGTTTCATTCAGACTCTATTTAGGCCGACGTGGTATTTTGTTCCATATGACATTATTTCGAGCCAATGAAAAACCTGCCGTGATGCGTTACCGCTTTTACCTCGCAACGAAACGCTGCACAGTTTGATGGAGATTTCGTTCTGTAAATGAAGCCAATCTGTGCTTAAAGGCTGAGAATCACTGTACAGCTGTTTCATCCTTATTGTTTAAGTGCGAGTTCATCACACTGCTGATCAGCCGCTCGTGGCCAAACGGCTAACTGTTCAAACTACTGGCTGGGAGTTTGAGGGTTCTGGACTCTCTGGAGTTTCGCAAGATGCGCACTGCTGATAATTCCCAATAAGAATGAAGCAGCTGTACAAAGCCTCTCGAGTTTTCAGCACAGATTGTCTTCACTTACAGGACGAAATCTCCATAGAACTTCCCAAATATCTTTAACAAAACTATAAACTTAGAGATTATTGTCAAAGAGAGATTCATTTGCGTACATTGTAAGCGTAATTCTAGTCCTGAAGTATCCGTGAAATTTGTTGGACAGGTACAAATTACGGTTGTTGAAAATTCGGCAGCAACGCGCGAATAATGAAGCTAGAAATAGAAGAACAGGTAGAGGGACGCCCAAGAGGTACTGTCAGCCGTAAATTCACTATCATTAAGAGGTATCCTTCCGTATTTTGAATGGTATCCTTTTGGAGCAAGCGGCGGAGTGCTGACGAAGATTGTGCACGATAGGTCTCTTCGAGCCACTCGTTAGCACCACCCCAGTAATCAAATATGTCCTGGTTCTTATGGTAGGTCTCTGTCATTATCAAACCAGCCCCCATTGCGAGCCAAGAGGCGACCCCAATGGAACCTTCGCCTCTTCACTATCAACGTGGTACAGGATCATCTTGAAATTAATGTTGACGTGAAACGTGATTGCTTGTACTTTCATCGGTTGAATGAAATTCCTTCGAAATGTTATTGGATAACCAGACGGTAAACTAGTAATGGGATCACTATTGGTACATTCATCTGATAGAGGAGTCAGATAGTTGTTTATTAGGAATCGGAACATCCTCATCGTTCACAGATGTAGGCAGAAGGAAGTTACCTAGACGGTTCATTAGCACCTTCTTGGTGGTTTAGATTGGGCACGATGCTGACTACTCAAGGATATGTGCCTCAGTTTTGTACAGTTTCAGGTGGCTGCGATTGTGCCACTTTTAAATGATACGTATCTACCTAAGCATCCGGGTCGCTTGTGCCTAAAGCTTTTTAAGCTTCTGCAGGCTGCACCTCCACTGTGTTAGTTGCCATAATTTTCCAAGATCTGAAACCAAGTTTACACTACTGGCGCTTACCTGAAGGCCACCACGATAACGTAATTTAGACGGTTCCTTCGCTCCAGCTCCGCTCGTCACGTGACCGTAAACTAATTCCTTCGGAATGTGGATATCGACCATAAGTCTTACTTGGTCTATCTCGGGGGACACTCAAATTTGATTTTGATTTGGCTAACAGCCATACTGCCCGGGTTCCGACCTGACAGTTTGATTTGTAGAATCCGGCACAAGCTTTGTAAGTTGAATTGCTTAAACGTACCAGTGTGCCTTTGGTATAGTGTTCATGTGTCCCTGTAGTACAGTGAAGAATAGTCGGGGCAATTGCTGTGAATGTGGGCTACAGTCTTACCAACTGCCGTTGATGAAGTCATTCTCAGAAAGTGACGTACGGAACTGTGACCACCATAGCTGCGGATTGGAGATGAATGGAGTAGAAGAGGATGCCATCATGAGAGTAATTGGATAAACAATCCCAAGGCAACTCAATACAAATCAGAGTCAGATACATATTGAACAGAGTATAAGGTAGAATGCGGCCTTGCCTCACTTTCAAGTCAGCACAGGGATCTCGTAGTCGGAGCAAACCGGCTTGGTGAACTTATGGCGAACTTATGGAAAACGAGCCTCGGTACCCCATTCCTCAAAGAGTTGGAATCTTTCGAGAAGTCCACAGAAATAACCTAAAACATTTTACTTTGTTTCCGACGCTTTCACTGCAGCTGACGCGCAGCAAACGCAGGTTCACTGGTGTTGCATTCGCTTTGAAATCCTGATCGCTCTTCGTGGATATGTTATTCCAGATTACAAGTGATTAATTCGAGCAAGACACTTTCCGGAACCATACCTGAGGAACACAAAATACTGCCGCCTCTACAGCTGAGCGGTTTAACAATGCTGCGGTTAAGGTGTCCTCAAACAATTGTGCGGTATTTCCAGCCACTCATATTGAACACAACAGGTAAAGAACTTCAAACTGCGGTACAAGTAATTCGGATGTTTTCATGAGCACTCGTTTTTATCGCAGTCTTTCTGTGTCGTAGGTCCCATATCTCTCTTCAAAGTCCGGCATCGTAAGCGTGAACTGGAGAGGTCCATCTTCACAAAGGCTTGAAGCAGTTGAAAAAAAATGATGATAAATGTGCTTCCAAGCCATCAAAATGTATTCGAAATCCCCCAAAATTCGACCAGTCCCGGTATTCTGGGCGTATTTGGGACGTTGTGCTTTTTACCCTCAATTTATCGTGCCCTAAAAATTAAATCTCAAAGTTCTTGATCTGCATAATATTGGAAGCTTTGGCTCTTTTCAACTCATATTCTTTTCCTACTCATCATGAAATAACCATAATCTCGGTTACTATACTGTAAAGCGCTTCTAAAGCGAATGAATCTGGCGCTTCTGTAGAGCTTTAATGAGGGCCTTGTTCTTCTCACCGATCAGGAGAGACATGCTTCCATCGTTTTCGCAAAACCGGAATTGATGCTTTTCTTCTTTATGTTCGGTGGTTTTAATAACAGCTGATGTCTTCGTCGATGCTTGTTAACTTCTCTTCTAACAAACGCAGTGCAGTTGAATTGGACAAGCTGCAGCAGCGGAACATCTGTTCCAGTGGCTGGTTTATATTGAGTCTTGTTGGGAATAACCTTGTCCCCCGATGGGCAAGACTTTGTTAGGCACACTAGCGTTTTGAGTCTCCTTAATTCCTATTGCAATCGGCACCAGCAGTCACCTTTGTTACAAGAAATTCATTAGATCCTGTGAAAGTATTAAAGTTAACACCGAATGTAGTGGAGTAAGGCATTATAAATTAGCGTTTCGTTAGCCGCGGGTAAACTTTTTAGAGGAATTTTAGGAAACTAAATACGAGTGCAGTGCAGCGTTTTTTGGGTCCGCCAACACCCCTTATGATTGCTGTGTTCCTGAAATCACTTGGCAGTCAGACACGGCCAGCGTATGTGGGTGCGTGTTGGATCTGTGTGTACGCGTTGTCATTTTTGAGATTCCTGCTTGACCTCTGGCCACAATGCCCGCTAAGATGGGCAGGCCAAAACCTGATGGGCGGGATGCCTACTCCATAACCACGGTTGACGCAGTTCGATCGTGGGTTCATCTGTAGCGCTTCAGTGCACATCCGTTACACTTGTTACTTGAATACCGAATGGACTATACGTGTGCCATTGAAGTTGATTGACCTGAGGGCTGGACTCAAGCATGTGGGGTGCAATGGCTGAGTCACATTCAAGTTTTTTGAACTCGGTTGAAATGCATCGACTTCGTTTGAGCCCCGTGATTCACACATGGATTCGCCTGGTTGCCTGGCCTATTTATTTGGTTGGACATTCTGCACAGGGGGCTTTGAAGACGCAGTTTGTGTGGTGTTATGGTTCGATAAGGTGCTTAGTCTTTACAATGTCTGGTTGTAAATTGTTAGCAATTTTGATGAATACTTTAATAACGTAATCCCGAAGTATCTTGCAAATGGCAACCGAGGTGATATTCCTATAGGATATTCCCAAGGTGACCACGGGGTCTTCGTCTGCCTGTATTGCTGTTCAGGGCAGCGTTGTTCCAGTTTGTTGGTTGGTGAGTCCTATGGGGTACTTATTTTGCTGTAATATTTCACTGAGTTGTTTTAGTCCATCCTCTCGTATGCACTCATCCGAGCATAGGTTTCTGACATGCTTGATCAATGATCCGACAACTACATGTTTGACATAGTGTGGATGCGAAGAGTCATAATTCAAGTATCTGTCTTTATTCGTGGATCTTTGTGGATTCCCACTGAGAATCCCTGGTTGGTGCGAAGATAACTTGTCGTTCAGGAACGTAAGAGTTCTCTGTTTTTTTACAGTTTCTGTCGTGATTTCCAAATTACTGC